ATATAACATGAATAACCAATCAGAAGCTCAGAATGTCCCTCTAGTGATTTTCTAGGCCTTTCTAACGTAGCTAGCGTCAATTCTTTCTTTTAAATATAGATTTCAATGAGGTAAGTTGTGTCTTTAATCTGCTCAAAATTTCATTTTTTTTTAATGTAAAATACATCTTAGTTACTAAGCTTGATAAATTATAGTTGAATTCTGTGGTATTAATGTAGTAGTTTATGATTTTATAGTTATACAAATACGTGTATAAAACCTAAAAAAAATATTTTGTTTCATATCCTCCACGTGCAAAATTTTTAAATGTTTTGCAACCGAGTACAAAGGTCGTAACTAGAAGAAATAATTGTTTGCCCTACTTCTTTATTTACTGTTCTGTGTTTTAGGAAAAATATCTTTAAGAATTTATTTCAAAATAGCAATAATCTATATATGTATATAATGTATAATAATTTAAATGTGACTGTATTTTACAAAATACTAGTCGACTAAAACACAGCCAAGACAAGTTACTTTGTACAGACCAAAGGTCAACTTTATGTTATTTGATATGGTAACATGAGTGTATGTGAACTGCATCGTTGTAACTCCTGTCAGGCATGAGTTAAAGGTCAATATAATGAAAATAATAAATGTATAATGTTATGAGATTTAAGCTATTTCGTATAAACATTTATGTTCATTCTAGAATGAAAGATGCATAATTTATGTTTTATTTCTAAATTCTTTATGGTGGTTGCAAATTTCATATTTCTATTTCGTATAAACATTTATGTTCATTCTAGAATGAAAGATGCATAATTTATGTTTTATTTCTAAATTCTTTATGGTGGTTGCAAGATCTGTCAAATTAATTACTGAAAATAACATTTTAAAATATAAAAGTTTTTTCTTATAAAAAGTTTGATAACTATCCAAACATTATAAAGATTTCGCATTTGAAATTTAAAAATTTTTTGGTGAATAAAAGTATATTTAATCTTAAAATGAAAGTTACTTTGCATGATAGATAGGCAAGATGTGAAAAGAAAAAAAAAAGGCATGAAAGAAACATTGCTTTACAAACCTTAAAACTTAATAAAGAATTTAGATATTTTGCATATTTTGTTAACATTCGCATACTAATTTAAAAGTCATAGCATTAAAACTATAACAAGTACAAAATGGTTACGAGGTCGGTCCAAAGGACCGATCATGGGTTGAATGAGTTAATCCAATGTGGAAACTGTAAAATGTATTTGTCATATCTTGTGTATAACCTCTTATGAGTTTAACCAAAATCTGATAAATCCTGACTTTTTAATTACATCCAATCTGCTACCCAAGAAGAGATCCTGTGTTAAATAAAATTCATAAAAAGTACAGTTCTCCAACTTAGTCTAGATCACACTGAAACTATTGTTGTTCAACCAATTAATGATATAAATAGTGTATCAACCATTGTCATATCCCAGCTAAGCTGATAAGCCCTGGTTTTGAGTGAAAGGCCTTGTCAGCACTGGATTTGGTTGAAATATTATTTCATTCTTTGTTAATTTCACCTGTGAATATGAATTATAAATGTCCATTAAACATGTGATTAATAAAGTGGTACAGTTTGTTTGTTTTTTTGTTTTTTTTTAGAGATAAGGCTGAAGGAAGTGTGCATGCTTTGGGTTATCGTAGACATTTCTTTATATGCTCACTCTGTTTTTAAACAGTTAATACTTACTGTTGAAGCTTGGCTATATTTTTTCATCAGAAGTCTAAATATCAATCAACTATAAAAACTGTTGTAGGACTTAAGTTAGTATAATACTGTATGTTTATTTAAAATAGGTGAGCAAGATATTCCTGGTCTGACTGACACAACTATTCCTCGTCGTCTTGGCCCAAAGAGAGCCTCAAAAATACGAAAACTGTTCAACCTTTCAAAGGAGGATGATGTTCGTCAATATGTTATTAGGAAACCACTCCCCCAGAAGGAAGGTTTGTCATTCTTTATCTGACATTAATCTCAAATTGATTTTATTGGTTATGCATCTGAGATTTGTGCAATTTAAAAAGTTTGGTGTAACTAGTAAATGATAGAAATTAAAATGACTGGTATTTTGAAAGTATTTATGCATTTGAACACGAACATCATATTAAATATGCTATTGTGTTACTCCAGTTTCATAAGGTTATGTACAATTTAAGCTGTACTTAATTTAGAATCATTTGATTGTAATAAAATGAAGCTTCTTTCCTACAGTTTGTACTTGAAACTTGTAGAACTTGAATGTGGCTATTTACTTTGTCTTGACAGAGCCATAAGTTAATGACATCTAATTTCTTCAGAGATGGTATTTTCCCACACTATAGCTAAAAACATGCAAATAACAAAATGTTAACATTTTGAAAAAAATAGGAAATATGCAGTGTTTTTCGCCATATAAGACAAGGAAGGGAAGACAATTCTGGCATGAAAAAAAGCTACTCCACCAACAGTTACCAGTTGCACACTGGAGGCAGAGAAAAAAGTTAAGTAGCTTCACTGGAAGATAACCAAAGAACACAGTTGTTCATTGCAGGTGCAGTGGGAACATACCTTGAAACCATAATTTACATAGATTTAGGTCTACAAAAGTAATACAAGACTCATTTTCACAAGCTTTCCCCAAAAATATTTAGCTGAATACAATCTCAAATGTTGAAAGTTGTATAAATGGCATCTGGTGGGATAAATGGAACTAGTTTACCAAACTTGGATGAAGCATTTCTATCTGTGTCTTTAACAAATTTTGTGTAATTTATTACTGCCCAGTTGATGATACAGTCCAAATATAGCAGCCATGTCTCACAAAGGTTTCAAAGAGATTTATGGTGGTTGTAGGTTACAGCTGTATTATATAAAACATATAGACTATAGAAAAATGCCAAGTTGTACTCTGCATACAATCAGGTTAATACAGACACCACAACATTATTACAAATTAAGAGAACTTGTTGAAGAGGTCAGGCATAAGTTCCATCTGCTTTGCAAATCATTACTTAACTGAATTACAATTGTTGGGAGACAAGGTGAAGGTTATAGAGTATGTATGTTGAACTATAGGAAATTGTGAATGTAAGTTTAAGTTGTTGTGGTTTTTGCATCTGAATAAACTTTAGGCTTGGAAATAGTGATCACCAAGCATTTTAAGGTAAAAAGATATGATAAAATATGCAAAAATTTATATGTATTTAAAAATTGTTCCATTTTAAGTTACAGTATCCATCAGTTCTATGCATGTCCATGGCTATGTATCATATCTGGTTGTACTTTTTAATTTGTCATAGAGCAATGGAAAAGTTGTGTTATTTTTTCCCAACATTGGTTGATTTATAAACAGTGAGATATTAGATCAGCATGGCCAGGTGGTTAGGGCGCTCGACTCGCAATCTGTGGGTCGCTGGTTCAAATCCCCGTTCCACCAAACATGCTTGGCCTTTCAGCTGTGGGGGCATTATAATGTGACGGTCAATCCCTCTAGTTTTACACTGCTAAATAAGGAACAGATAGCCCTGTGTAGTTTTCGCGAAATTTATAACAACCAAACAAACCAACTAGATCAGTAAAACAAGCATACAGTTTATGAAACTGTAACATGCTTATTTTTCATTAAAAGTTCAGTTAACCTGAAAGCATTCCATACTAATTTCATCACAAGGACTGATGTTACATGATGTTAGCAGGTGTTAGTGAGCTTTTCTAATACAATAGGCAAAACATTTGTTTTTTTCATATGAAATTACAAACTGTTGTTCCTAAACCTACAGTTATGAGAAATTAGTGAGTGATCCTGCATCAGTAGATTATGTATGTGTTAAGAGAACAAATTTACAAAACTTGGAAAATAAATGTTTTTATTTTGGTAACATTTCTCATGTATAACTTGTGATAGTTAATTATTCTGCTCCACACTAACACTGCACTTATTACAATTGGTGATTCTAAGTTTGAAGTTTTTGTAGTTCAGCCAAAAATACGTTATAAATCACAATTGTTAATTGTTTCTTTTTCATCTAGAAATTAACATATTAATCTTTCAATCATTAAAGTATTTTTTGTGTGTTATTTTATAATGGTTATGTATTAAATATAATTGTTACATATAAGCTTGTATTGTTAAGAAATTATCCTGCGATCAAAATCAATTTTGTAGACAGAAAAACAAAAAATGTGTGCTCCTTTTTTTTTAAGGTAAAAAACTCCGTCACAAGGCTCCTAAAATCCAACGACTTGTAACTCCTCAAGTTCTCCAACGTAAAAGACATAGAATCGCGCTGAGACGTAAACGTGCCCAGAAACGTAAGGATGAAGCTTCCGACTATGCTCGCCTGTTGGCTCATAGAGCTAAAGAAGCTAAGGAAAAGAAGCAGATGGAACAGAGACGTCGTCGCTCTGCCTCTCAACGAGAGTCGTCTTCGTCTGCAGGAAAAGGAAGCACTAGCAAGTGAATTGAAAGTCGATATTGTACTTGAAATGTAGGGAAAAAATAAAGCTTATTTCTCTGACGTCCACGAGTTTTCCTTTTTTTATTATTACCAAATTAATATGTATATTTGAGGAGCTAGACATGAGCATCTGAGCATAACTTAAAGTCTGCTGCAAAAAAACAAATCCAATAT